AATGGAAAATAAAATAAAAATAGAAGCAATCTAATGAACACTATTGTCTAGTTTAATTCCAACAAAACCGTTAATCCCCGGCAATGGCGCCAAAATCTGACGACGTCGCTTGTAAACGCCAAACTAAATGTAGTGAATGTGTGGTTCAAGAAAAGCCTTTTATGTCAAATTTAAATTTATAAAAACCACTATCAACACCACTACTAACGTAGCAAGAGTGAGTAGGGATCGTCCCAAGGGATTATACGTGTTGGAATTTCAACTTCGACTCTAGCGTACCAAATGATTGCAAAAGAGAGTTGGGTTGGTTGATTACTTCTAGAAAAGAATTAATTAAAATGCAATAAAAATAAAACTAAGTAGAGATAGTGATTTAAGAGATGAGAAGGAAAGGTCTTGGGGTGTAGAGATCACCACCAAACAATACTATTCCAAACCATAATCAAGTGACTAATGAGGAAAATGAATGTGTTGCAACAATGTTGTGTGTGTAAAAGACATTCAATTGGCAAGGGTGACTCAACAAGTGCAATTTGTCTCAATCAACATGTGTGAGGCCACAATACATCTATTGGTAGAGGAATATATTGTCTAAACATCATGTGAAGATAACAAAATAACAATTCAAGTCATTGAACCTTTCATTAAGCTCATAGTCCAAGCAATCCATAAAGATGACTTAGTTAAACATGTATTATCTAAACATCATGTGAGAGGTACAAAATATCTATTGGGAGATGAATAAATTGTCTAAACACATGTGAAAGATACAACATATCATAACTAGTCATTAATCCTTCATTAAGCTCACAATCCACATACAACACAATATTAGAGGAATATGCCATTTGGACTCACAAGCATGGAACATCAAACATCAAGAGTAGATTGTCCTCCCATCTAACATTACACTACCATTACACTAAATCTACACTACTAGCATGAAAATAAAGTTATCTAGACTAAGGGAGAGGCACAAACCATCAAGAATAGGCATAAACCATCAAATGAACCAAAATAGCATTCATTAAGCATATCATCTTGATAATCTCTAGATCTGTAGCATCAATACACATAGACATGCATCAAAAACACTAAATCTAGAGATAAGCACATGAATATCCTACTCTAGCATACATAGACATTTGGATAGAATAGAATAGTCAATTGGAAGCATTAAACCATACAAACCATGAAATAGTCAAGATTTATATATACATGAATGTTAAGATGTATCATACAACACTAATCCCTCAATAATACACAAGATTAGAGTATAGAAAGCATGCTTGGGGCTAACTCTAGCCCCAAGAGGATGTCTAGCCACTCATGGTAGTGATGATCCAACCCTCAAGGGCTAACTCCATGGCTGCTCCTTGTTGGTGAAGATTTTCTCCAATGGTTGCTCTAGCTTCCTCCCTTCCTTCCTCTCCAAGAATAGCCTCCAAGATGATTTTCAATGTGTGACAAGAGACTCTAGAGACTCCCCCAAAAAGTGTATCATATTCCTTATATAGGTAGGTCAAATACACCCCATGATGAGCTGTGGTCGTGCAAGGCATATTCTCCAATGATTGGATGAAGGACGGAATAAATGAGCTGGACTTTAACTTTTTCTTGCTGGAGGAAGTTCGATCGATCGAACCTTAACTTGGATCGATCGAAAATGGGTTCGATTGATCGAACTGCATCTTAGATCGATCAAAGTGGTCTGACTCCTCCGAATAAGGACAAGGCTAAGATATTTCGAAGATATTTATGGGGAAAAGGACAAAAGTGGTTGGTAGGCGTACAGCTGTGGATAAGATCAATCATTTGAATAGGACAAAATAGGGTTCGATCGATTGAAGGTTATGTTCGATCGATCGAACTTGGAATTTCAGCAAAGGCCAAGGTTGGATCTATCGAGAAGTACTGTAATCGATCATAGATGTTCGATCGATCTAACTCTAAGTTGGATCGATCGAACTTTTCAGCTGCACAACTTTGATTCCTTTTTGCTCCTTTCTTTCTCCACTTTGCTCCCTCCTTTGGTTTATCTCAGGATTACTTCAATTAAGCTCTTATTTGGCTGAGTTAGCTCAATTTTGGGATTAGTGCCTGAAAATATAAATAACACGTAATAAGTCTAAAATGGCAAAGTAAGATAGATAAAGGTACTAGAATGCTTAAGCTTAACATGTTTAAATGCGCACTTTTCAGTGCTCATCAATTGACTTCTCGTTCAAACTGTTGTTGGATCCATAAACCTAATAAGACTGTTTTATATAGAATGTGATTGATTTTATTAGGTAATTTTTAGAGTATTATAGAAACTATTTTTACAAAACTATTTTTATATCAATGAATAAATATTTTTCTATATAAATACATAAATACTATAATACAGAAACACTTTGCATGATTTTATTAGGTAATTTTGAATTAATAAATATTTTTGATTTTAATAATTTTTGTCTAATTAGATTTACTTTTATTAAAAAAACTCATAATAAATAGATAAATAGGTAATTTGTACTTAAATACTGAAACTCTTTGCACATCTAATAATAGTATAGATAAAAACTCTTTTTATATCAATTAATAAATATTTTTTTATATAAATAAATAAATAATAAAACTCTTTGGACATAATCATAACTGGGGCGGGCCAGTTATATTGTGATAATTATCGATAAAAAATAACTATTCTTTTTATATTGAACTAAAGATTAGAGTTTTATATAGAATGTGATTGATTTTATTAAGTAATTTTTAGAGTTTTATAGAAACTATTTTTACAAAAACTATTTTTATATCAATTAATAAATATTTTTTTATATAGATAAATAAATACTGAAATACTGAAACACTTTGCATGATTTTATTAGGTAATTTTTAATGAGAGTTCTTTATTGGGAATTAAACTCTTTTTATATTTTGTTAATCTGAATTTTATTAGGTAATTTTGAGTTTTATAGAAATTATATCAATTAATAAATAAAAACTAAAACTCCTTGCACAAAGACCGAGAAAGTAGTACTACACTTGATCTTAGCCAAAAGACCAAGAAAAGTTAACCAAAAGGCCGACCCAAAAAAATTTAGTACTACGCTTGATCTTAGCCAAAAGGCCGAGAAGGTGTGATTATTTTTTCTTTAGCTCTATAACTTTATAAGAGGCTTTCATGTAATCTTTTTTATTTAAAACCGATGTGGGACTTTGTAATTTGAATTAAACTCTTTTTATATTTTGTTAATTTGAATTTTATTATGTAATTTTGAGTGTTATAGAATTTATATCAATTAATAAATAAATACTGAAATACTGAAACACTTTGCACATTTAATAATAGTATAGATAAACAGACTTATATATATACCATATATATAAACAGACGGTATATATATATATATATATATATATATATATATATATATATATATATTTCCAATAAATATAAAAAAAATTCTAATAAATTCCCAAAAATACCAGAAATATATCAGAAAATTCCAAAAAATTTTAGAAAAATTCCAGAAATTCCGGAAACCATAAATAACAGTCTTGGGTCATAAATCAACCTATAAATTGATTTAAAATTTACACAACACCTATATATTACAATTAAACATCAAAACTCCAAAAAAATTACATAATAATAATTCATGTTTTTAACTATTCCGATTAAATCCTGTTTTAGTCAAATAAAATTATTTTAATGTATTTGATTAATCCGTTCTAACCATGATTTAAATTAATAAATTTAATCTAAAGCCTTGATACTCAAGGTGAAATACTTATGAGTTTTAAGAGGAAAAATAAAGAAAACTCGCCTGAAGGTTTCAAAACAAAACCGACACTTCAAGCATTAATCATCTCTTCGAAATCCGACGTCTCTTTCTTAGATCCGGCCTCCACCTTGTCAGCCCTCTCTTCTTCGCTCTCTACCTCTCTTATTTTTTTAACGTGACAAACTTGTTAACCCTAAAGCCTTATGTGTATATTTATACACATTGAAACCTAAATCATATTCCAACTAGGACTACCTAATAAGATAATAACCTTAAAATAATATAATATATATAACATATATTATATTACACACATATATATATTTATCTTCCATAATTAACCATTAGTTAATTAAATCATATAAACCTATATATATCCATAAATATATATCTCTATATATACACATTAAAACCTAATTCCAACTAGGATTATGAATTAAAAATAATAATTTTTAAATAATTTATATCTATATATATATATATATATATATATATATACCTTCCATAATTAACCCATTGGTTAATTAAATCGTATATACCTATATATATCAATAAATATATATATCTATATATATATTCTTTCATAACACTTATTAATTAATTATATTTATATATAATTAAATATATATTTATAATTATATAAAAATGATTATTTAAATTATCATAAAACCATGGGCTTTATTAATTAACCCAATAAGGCCTCCTTCAAGCCCAAGACCATATCCTTTGGTCTAACTTTCCTTAAGTCCAAATCGAATTAATTTAACTAAGTCAAATAATTAAATAAACACGTAAATTAAATAATCTAATTACATGAAGTACATAAACAAAACAAGAAATTACAATCAAGTCGCAACATACCAATAAAATCAATACATCAACAATTCAATCAATAATTAAGTACATACATAACAATCATCATATCAATAATTCACTCAATATAAATAAAATAAAACAATTAATCTAAGCACTCAATTAATTAAAAATTAAAATAAACACAATTAATTCAAATGAAATCAAATAAATCACTTAAAAATAAAATAAAAGTAATTAATTCTAATTAATAAATCCTTTAAAATATCGGGGTATTACATTGAAGCTATGGGTAAGTGAGTCACTACCTAATGCGATGATTCAAGTAATAGATGCCAACTTGCTCAGGCTAGAGGAAGGACGCAAAGGTGCAGTGTGTATCATCCATCATGCAATTGGCTCTAAATTGTTGTGCAGAATCACCTCAGGAGAGGATCAACATGAGAGAAGCTCTAGCAGCACTAAAGAAGATCAGACATCAGTTTACGCAAGCCGTGAAAGGTGAGAAACATGAAGGTATCTATCTTGTGTTGCTATTACTTGTGATTTACGTGCCACTAGTTCTACTAAGTTTCTATTTGTCCAAGAATGCCTATATCCAGGAATAGGTAAGAAAAAATACTCATATGTTATTTGCTGATAGCATGATTTTATTGCAACAGATTGCATTGCTTTGAGAGGTGAAAGTGTTGGTAGCTCCTCTGAACCATGATACTGGAACTATGTCTCAAAGACACTGCTCTATAAGATAGATAATCAAGGTGGATTGCTCGTCGCTGGTGGAGGCACACGTATGTTGTTGGTTCATTTTATATGGTTACCAATGTTGATTATTACTAATGTTATTTGATTAACGAATTTCTTGTCTTCTAAACAACAACATCGAAAAAAGGTGAACGGATTAAATTATGATTACCAATGTTGATTATTGCGGACACATAGTTCAAGGGACCTTAAAAGTTCAAATAATCTCAAACTTGCTTATTTTTTGGGAAGAATTTAATAGAAATTCTTCAATGGGAACTGCTTTTTGCAGTAGGGTTTGCCTAAAAAGGACCATATTTAACTCCATTAGTGTATAATAAAGTGTTTCAAAGTAATCTATGTATAACTTTATGTTTTTGAGTTTGTAAGCATGCCCAGAATTATTATAAGCCTGTGTTTATCCTAGGAAGATTGGTTTCACTGAGAAAGAGGCAAGCTCATACTTAACGTACATGGAAAATATCACTGAGTGAATATACTTAAAAGTAATCTACAAACTTCTTCTTTTTTCATTTTATCTTGATGATATTTAAAGTACTTGGAAAATATCACTGAGTGAATATACTTAGGTGTGTTCGACTACATGAAATTGAAGCCTTGGAATTAGAATTGGTGAAATTTAAGAAATTTTTTGTTCGATTTCTTAGTTGTTTTTTCTTAAATTTCACCAATTGTAATTTTAAGATTCCAATTCCATGCAACCAAGCACACCATAAAGATAATTTACAAACTTATATTCTCTTTTCATTTTGTCTTGATTGATCACATAACTATTAACTATTAAAGTGAAAATTTTTTGAGTTTTGTAGCTTAAGGAGAATAAATAGTAAACTAAACCAACTTAAAGTACTAGAAAAATATCACTGAGGGTAGGAATTTGATGAAAGAATTCATAATACCAAAATAATATGAGACGTCATATTTTGTTCTTTCAAGGTTTATTGCTACATCTAGTTATTTAGAAGTTTTTGGAAGTTTTTGGAGTTAACAAACAGTTATTTGGCCAACTATAAAAGAAGCAAAAACAAAGAATTCGTGTAGCAGAAATGAGGATGCTAAGATGGATGACAGGAGTGACAGGAAGAGATTGGGTTACAAACCAAAAATATGAAGTTGAAATTTGGTGTGACAACTATTAGTGATAAGATTAGAGAGTAGACTTAGATGGTATGAACATATACACAGAAAACCCATAGATACATTGGTGAGAAGAAGAAGCTTAATTTACATAGAGGGTAGGAGGCAGAGAAGGCGCCCATAATTAACATGGGGATGAAATCATTAGAGATGATTTTTAAAAGTTAAATATTAGAGGACAGATTACTTGTAATAAAAAAGAACCCAAAATTAACATGAGATGAAATCAATAGAGATGATTTTAAATATTAGAGGAGTAATAACGAAGAATGGGAAAAGAGAATTCATGTGGCTGCTCCTATTCATAATAGGATCAAGACAAGGAAGATGATGATAATTAGTTAGAATAAGTTTTGAGTTCCAAAATCTCATTGAGGTTCACAGAACCTATAGAGTTGATAAACATTGATTCAACTGATCATTGAAATTTTGAAAACCTATTATTGACCCGTTGGATTTTATTGTGAATTTGAGGTTAATTATGTATTGAAGATCAATCTTGCATTCATACTTATTATGTCCCAAAGTATTTTTTCTTTTTCTTTTTTTAATAATGGAATCAAATCAAAAGAACATGATTTATGGACTTTTTACTCCAGACGGGGAAAAAATTAATTAGTTGAGAGATCACTTCCACAATTTTGTCCATCATGAAGAGAAAATGATAACTAAAGTTGTTACCCTTCCCAAGTAAGTGCAACACTTGCACCGAGTCAAAGAAGAAAAACATTGTGCAATTTTTAAATTTTAAAGCGGGGAAATGGTGGGATTCTAAGAAGCTTGTTAATTAGTGTTAGAGCTGGAGGAAACTGGAAAATCTTTTGAATTATGCTTTTTTTTTTTTTAAATTACAAGTTCTTAGTTAATTGTATGTGGATTTCTTAATCAGGGAACCAATTATAACTAATGTTCTAATTTTAAATTACTTGAGAAGAAGAGATTAACATTGAAGGGAAGGCTTATGTTAGGGCTGCATTTCGGGCGAGTTGGGCGGGTTGGAGGTACAATTCGAGTTGAACCCGACATAAGCAAAGTTCAACCACAACCCGACCTTCAACCCTAACTACTCAACCCGAAACTAACCCATCTTTCTATTTTTAAACTCAAGTTTGCAATTCGGGCTGAGATTTTAGGTTGGAGAGTCAAGTTAATTCTGGTTACCTATATCACCAATCTCCATGCTGAAAATTTATGCGACTTTTGAGTTACTTTAAGATTAAATTACTCATAAACACAAAAAGTTTTAAAAATTTATTGCAAATTTTCAATAAATTAGAAACAAATTATTAGAAAATTAATTATCTAAAGTGTTAACATATAATAAATTAAGATTTTACAAAATGAAGTTAAAAAAAAAAAAGGTGTTCATAATTTGAATATTATATATATATATATATATATATATATATATATATATAAATGATATTAGAAGTCGGGTTCGAGTTGTTAGTACCTCAACCCAAGCCCAATCCTAATTAAGTTCAAGTTGAGATTTTTCAATCCAAGCCCAACCCTAATTAAGTTCAAGTTAAAATTTTTCAATCCAAGCCCAACCCTAATTATAAAAATGATTGTCCAAGCCCACAAAAAACCAGATTTGGTTCGGGTTGCCCAACCCAAGTTTGCACCCCTAGCGTATATACCACATGTATATGTTAAAACAGGTGAAGAGCTTAGAGAATATTCATTTGGTGAACAAAACAACACACCTTCAAACCAAGCAACCAACACACGGCCACATTGGAAAAGCTACAACATGTGCACATAACAGAACTCCAGCACCAAAAAGCATGTGCATATCAAACTAATTTCTTTATAAGTGACTAAGAAATATTGCTCCTCACAATTTATGTTGGTGGCATTGACACCAGAAGCTATGTTTCAAACATTTTCACCAGGGATAAGGAACATCTTGAAATGAATAGTTAACCTATCAGCACACAGCTACAACATGGACACTAAACTTCTATAAATATATCCAATATGTCAGACTAAATATCATTTTTCTTAAACTTTCTCTCAAATATAGACAAGATGGGTGCAGAAAAATTATTACATTTGGATTCTCAGATTAAAATAGAATTTTAGCACTTATCTTTCGAGAAAAATTTAGCTCATTGATCGTGAATGGTAGTAAAGATACAAAGAACCTTACAAGCACATAGATTTTATTGCACAGTCTACCATGACACTCAGAGAGGAAAAAGACCAAAAGAAAAAAACTTAAGGAACTAGGAAAGCTCTTCAGCTCCTAAAAAAGTAATGCTAAAAATTAAAATGTTTCTCGCCATTACCAAAGAGTAGGGAGACGCCCATACTTGATCAGTTGATCGGCAAAGAGATTACATCATGATCAGAGGATTCATGCCTTTTTTTAGCCAAATTAATATAGACCCCTAAATTATATACAAGACGGGTACATGCAGTTCAATGGAAAAATTCTACTTTGTGAAGGAAAGGAAATGGTTTGAAATGAGCGTTTCTAGAAGGCCGAATGTTGAATGGTCTTTCTTGAGTCACTTTTTTAGAATGTAATACTCCGTACCGATTCCCAAAGTATTCAACTATTTTGGTACAAAGGAAGTAAGTAATAATACAAGATAGAAAGGGGAGAGCTTTCTGAAGATGAGTAGAATTGTATATGATTCTCGATACATGGCACTCCCTTCTTAAGTTCAACACATTTTTTCATTGTCATGAATATACACTTGCTTCACACTAACAGGAAGTAGACACTTTTCATCACTCACAATTTTTCTAAGGTGAAATCTTTTTCATACGAATGCAAAAAATTATTTGGAAATTTTCAACACCATAGTTATTTGGAGATTTTTTTTTTTTTTTTTTTTTTTTTTTTTTTTTGGGGATAAGTCATAGTTATTTGGACATTTTCAAGAACCTTGGTTTTAATTTGGAAAAAGAAAGGAATGAGGAGGCAGCAACTCGCTTCCTTATGATTTAACGAAGAAAAAAAAATGGCTTTCTTGTGGATACTGATACACATCCATTGAATTTAATATCAGTTAACATGCAATCTATGAAAACTATTCAACCTCTTATAAACATGGATAATATAGACAATTTGACCAACAAGTCTAGCATACTTGACACATTATCACAAGATACACATCAATTCTTTTTGAAACACACAAAGAACTTAATAACGTTTAACATGCGATATATGAAAACTATTCAACCTCTAATAAACATGGATAATATAAACACAATGACTGGCACACCTAGCATAGTAGACACAATATATTTTATTTGTACTTCAATATAAAACAGTAGGACAATAAATGAATAAGTAATATTTACCCAGAAATAAAGTGTGAAAAATATTTGAAAATTTTGGTCGTGTACCCAAATCTGCCTCATTGATTCTTGTTAACTTGTCATCATTCTTGAACTTTTTATAAATAAATAAATAATAATAATAATAAATAAATAAAAAAATAAAAAATGATACAATGGTAACAATGCAACACATTGAAAATCAAGTCCTTGGCAGGAGCACTAAATTACACTATCCACTTTTGACTGATGCTTAATAACCCAAAATGAGACCCACTCAGACTGATGGAGATGGCCTCCTTTGTTCTACAAAGAGAGGGTTCACATTCAAGATAATAGTTCATCTTTAAATCCTTGTGCGTATTCTTCTTCTTGTTTTGGCTAGAGTCTGGCACTTTATATTGATTGTAGATCTTTTGTATTACATTCCTAAAAAAAACATTATTGTAAAAATCTTGTTAGTAAATATTTTTTTGCTAAGCTTTCCTTGGTCACCATCTGTCCAAAATGCTTGTCATATCCTATGATTTTATAAGCTCCATATATAGTAAGACTTCTTATATAATCAACAAATCCCATGACGTGAGCGCCTTAAGAAATCCAAGCCTAACAGAACACGAATAAAATTAATTGGGTTTGGACAAGATTTATTCCAATAACCCAGCAAAATTTGCTTTTGACCTTCATGTCTAAGTGAAAGGCAAAAAAACAACTTTAATTAGGAATCGGAAGCTAGAGATCTCAAATAAATTATTGGAAGTAATAAGAACATTGCTAAACGGACATTATTCGCAAGACAACCCTTTCAAGAGCGAAGGTCCAACACTACACTTAATACCCTTTGGTGTTACTGCTTCTTCAAGAGCAAAGGTCCAACATTATCCCCAGTAGCTTTATTGTGCTTCACATGGCTTCCATCGCATAGAGGAAAAGTCTTAGACCTCCAACACCTGCACCAACAAAACCACATAGCCTACATTATTGAAATATCAAAAAGTGGAGTCTTGCACAACCACAATAAAATTTACCCCTATAAAGAACTTGAAACACATAATGTAGATACATTGTAGCTAGTAAGGATACACCAAATCCTATTTAGTGAAGCTCTGCTTCCCATTCATTGAGATATCTTATTGTCCTTGTAGTTCGATAATGTCAACGTGGTGAGTTGGCTGATCATTGACAGTGGTGGTGATGGTGCAATGGCATCAGGGCAATGTGGTCAACCTTTATGATTCAACAGATGTTCATTAAAAATAGGGACTAGAAATTAAGGTGTTAATAGAAAAACAAATAATATTTTGAAGATAAATTAAGCGGAAGAAAAGTTCTTTTCAAGTTATGGGCCCTTGTAACAAAATAATGAAAAATCAACCGCCATCATACATAAGCCTGAAACAGAAATATTTTGATATCAAATGCACTGAAGTAGTATTGGAATTGAAAAACAAAGAAGAAAGAAAGAGAACCAGTATCTGAATTGGAAGGACTTAAGTTTATTCAGTTCTAAGTATACAGTTCCTTGGGCTTTTCATGATATAAAAAAAGAGGAAAAATAATCTCATCCACCATTTATTGTTCCAATTAAATGTATCAAATACACAAAAAATAAATCAGGTTGTTGCATGTGTCTGAATCATTAACCACCTTTCTTAATGTTACTTTTCCACAGAATTTTGATTAGCTACCTGTCATGCATATGTGATCGAATTTGCATACAGTGAAATGTCAAATCTTCAAATAAAAATAGGGTTGACAACTTAATTTGTTGTAAATTAACCATCTTTCTTAGGATTACTTCTTCAAACCATTCCGATTTGTGTCTCATACAAGAAGATATGATAAAATTAGTGTGAAGTAATATGTCAGAATCTTCAAGTTGAACTACCATTTATGCTTCGTTCGGTAGGAAGGAAAAATACTGAATGGGTGGGAGAGCAGAAGGGATGGATGAGACATCCTTAAAGAACAAATGACGTCCTTCCCTTTTTTTGTTCGGTTGAATGGAAGAGAAGAGAAAAAACTGACAATTTACTGTGTTCATCACCACTATACCAATTATTATGTCTGACACAATATTGTCCGCTTATGGCTCCAACATACTGTGTTCGTTAGGAAAGAAGGAAATAGAGTTTTAAATTGCTTTTACCATTATACCAATCACTATGTAACGACCCTCACCCTGCCCAGACCAGAAACTTCTCAGGGGTCACCCATCCTGGTACTACTCCAAGTTGTGTTATAGAAGGGCGTTGAATCTACATATAGCACTTGCCTTTTCCACACCCAAGCGATGTGGGAATTGTGAGCACACGTAGCTCGCACCATCTAGCTGGATCAAGCTCTGATACCATTTGTAACGACCCTCACCCTGTCCAGACACAATATTGTCTGCTTTTGGCTCTCCCACACTAGAGACTTCCCAGGGGATCACCCATCCTGGTACTACTCCAGGTTAAACACGCTTAATTCCAGAATTCTGATAAGTTCACGGCCATCACCGCTTTAAAACGCGGTTTGTCATAAAAGGGTGTTAAATCTACATATAGCACTTGCATTTTCCACACCCACACGGTGCGAGAATTGTGAGCACATGTAGCACGCACTAGAGCCTTGCCTCTCACAAGCCTGCTCTCGCCCACTGAGCCTCACACACTATCTATAGTATTGTAATTTATGAAGAACAGTATTGTAATTTAAAACTTTTATAATAGCCCTACTGGTCTTCCCTCCTCTGTTCCGTCCATATTTGAAGGGATGAAAATTTGTGAAGGAGGAAGGATGGCTCATCTATCTTATTATTCTTTCTCTCCTTGTCTCCTCTCTAACAAACGAAGAAAGGTTGTTCCTTCATTCCTATCTTCCGTCCACCCCTCTTCCTTCCTTCCTTCCTACCGAAGAAACGATTAGGCAATAACCCCACTTATCTAGTCATTTGTACTCAATGGACCTGAAACTGACCCGAGGCCACTATTCAGGTGGTATAGAGGGCAGGTGAGGTTGCAGGCATGTCTATATATATGTGTATATATGTAGCAGAAATGTGGCCTATTTTCACAGATCAATCAGGTTTGATTCTTAGAAGTTTATTACAGAAGGCAAGTGAGCATGAAGGAGGATTAAGATCCATGAATAGGAAATTTTGGTTAACGTATTTGTTGAATTTTACCAAGTCAAAAAATATATCTATATATATTTTAAAAAATTCAGATTGATTTTTCTTTTAGAAAATGGCAAACCAATATTCAACCAAAAGAGGATCCCAATAATCACCCAAAAGAGGTTCCAAACTTTTATCAGCAATTACAAGGTTGTCAATTGTGAATCCAAACTCGTGTCTAACACAGATGATGGACAAAGCTGCTTTTTGATAACCCATTTAAGTACTTGAACTAATTTTTATGTATAACTATTCTAATAAGTGTACTTGATAATGCAAAACTAGTTATCACTTGGAAAGAAAATTCCACTGAATCTCAAATTCAATCCAGCTCTACAAATTCATCATTAAATTTTCAGTTCCCCGATTTCAGCTACTGATGATATTCAGGACTACTAATTCACAAGTAAAATTTTTGGGTGTTCAATTTTCAATTTTATAAATCATCACCCCACACACAATTATATATATATATATATATAGAGAGAGAGAGAGAGAGAGAGAGAGAGAGAGAGAGAGAATGATGGGTAAGAGAGTTCCAAGTAAAGGGTTTAGAAGATAACCTGCAATAAGCTGTGAGGGGCTTAGCGAGCTCGGTGACGACGACAGAGTCAACGACCTTGTCTTCAGTCTTCCTTATCTCTGGATTTATAGCCTCTGCTCTCACCACCACCAATAGCCTCGGTCTCACAGCAACAGCAACAGCAACAGAAGAAGCAGAGTGATTCAAGTGGGTCCCAAATCTTCCTCCGATGCTTATCTTCAATCCCTCCGGCGATGATCTGCCGTATGCGAACCCAGTACCCACAATGCTCACCACCGACACCATTGATAACTTTCTCTCTCTAAAATGTTTCAAAAGTGGAGATTTGTTTGGTGAAATGTACAGGAAGAGTGGGTGGTGAACCTATGGACAACACACGACCCTTGTGATGTGGTGAACTCTCGAATGGCCCACGTTATCTTGTAGTCATAGATGGAAGTACCCCCAACGATTCAGTGATTACACCAACCTCCCCTCAAAATTAGCTCCCTTAGATAGACACTCCAAATTCAGACTCTCCAAATTTATTATATTAGCATTTTTTTTATAACTACGTCAATATTTTTTTCATAGCTACGTCAATATTTTAGAATTTTTAAATTTTAACTATTAAATGTACTCCAATGGTACATTTTTACTCTCAAAAAATATTAATATTTTTATATTTTTTAAATTTTTAATCAATTTTATTTTTTAACTTTTTCCTAACAGTTATATTTTTAAAACGTCTATATCATAAATAAAAAAATTTAAACAATACAATATTTATTATTAAAAATAATACGATACGATATAAATTTAAATAATACAATAAAAATAAAAAACAATACAATACGATATGAATTAAAAACATAACAATTAGAAAAAACAGAACATTCATATGAAATGCTTGAGATAATCTTATGGAAAGCTTGAGTTGCCGCGTGCGCGTATAGATGTTAATATTTCATTTTAGCGTTCAATCAGCCATGTTTTCCTGACTTGTATTGGCATCGATTCTGGATCTTTTTGTATGATTAACATCTCTTCAACTCTTTGTTTGTTTTCAATCTCTCTTAGTTTGCTTTGAAACTCGAGTTGTCTAGTTTTTTCTTTATCTGCTTTGCATGTCTTGCGTGCTATTTGAGCGGCCTTAAGAGTTTCAGATTGTCTTTGATAAAGGGCTGTTGCATGATCGAATTTGCTAATAAAATCATTCTAACTTTCAGATTGTCTTTTATCCTTATTTCGCCTCTGCATCGCTACTTTTCGTCCTTCTGGTCGTTGATATTCTTCAACATCCATCAGATCATTTTTGCCTATGTGTGCCGATCCTTCAACCGAACTTGGTGTCGTTGCTGCATTACTTGATGGAGTAGATGGGTTTGAGTAACCAATAGGCTCACTATCATTAATGTGGATTCCACTCCTTTTCTTCAGTTGTATTTTTCTTTTTTCTTTTTCTTTTTTTCTTTTTTCTTTTTCTTTTTTTTTTTTTTTTATGTCAATTCTTTTTGACAATGTAAATGCCACTTATTATTGCTCTTCAAAATGTTCGAACAACTTTCAAACTTAAATTTGGTGTTATTTTGACAAGCAAACAACTCTTTGGCTCCTATCATCTAAAAAAATAAAAATCAATAATTATTAGAAGACAAATATTTAAAATATCTACCAATTAAATTTAATATAATAAATAGCTTACCTTGTACTCATTGTCTTGCCCATGGGTAATTCCTTTCTATCTGGGCCATGCATCCAGAAAATTTAGTAATTATTTGTTGCATAATGGACCAACGATTCAAGCAGGCGATATGATTTTTTTTAGGTGTACCAGCACCACTAACGTGTTGCTCAAAACTTTCTTGAATTCGGATCCATAACGTTGCCTTTTGTTGGTCTGAACTGATGATCGCTGTAGACACTAAAATTTTAGTGGACTTTGATTTGGACAAATAAACCCATTAAATATGGGCCTAATATTTAATTAAGTTATTTAATTGGCCCAAGTTTGGTCCACTTAAATTATTTAATTAAGCCCAGTCCAGATGGTTAAATAAAAAGAATAATTATTCCTAATAAAATATATTTGGAATAATTATTTTTAAGAATAATTATCATAATATATCCGGCCCAGCCCAGTTATGATATTTTCCTTATCAGAGAGGACACATGTCATCATCCTATGGATCCAAGAAGCTTATAAATAGAGGCCTGGAGGAAAGGAGAAGGACACACAAAGTCAGAATTCAAAAATCTAGAATTCCAGAGAGAAATATAGAAACTCTCATCCCAACATCAAAACCCAAAAGTGAAGAACACCAAACACATCAAATAGTGCCGTTCTTCGTTAAATTCCACGGTAATTCAAGATCAAGCCTGTGCAGCCCTTGGATCCAACTAACTAACAGAAAAAGGAGATTTAATCAGAGGATCAGTTCTTTCTTTTTGTAAAGAATATTATAGAGGATTGTACCTCAATTTCTCAAATTAATAAAATTATATTATTTGCTCCCTATTTTGTTTCTATTGCAGACTTACAAAATTTGTGCGTACAACGGCATCAGTGCTAATGGTCATCCACGCATAACATAAAGCCTCATCTTCAACTGTGGACCAATTAGGAGGCCGAATAGCCCTTTGCTTTTTGGGAGGTTGGGAGTTACTGGATTGTGGCACTTCAGTAGGAATGTTAGAAACTTGAGAAGGTTGATGAGACGAAAATTGAGATTCATCTCCAACAAATTGAGATTCTTCTACAACAAATAAGAAGGGATCAAAATTATCATTTGATTGGTTGAATTAGGAGTTGTAGTTGTAATATGGTGGTGGAGGATCCATGGAATTGAACTTGAGTAAAAAATATAACTAAAAGATTGAGAAAATGACTTAATGGTTGTAATTGTAGGTTGAAAACTAGAGAAGATAGGTTGGATAAGAGGTGAATTATAGTAGGGGTTGATGTATTTATAGAGGAAAAATGAAAAGTTTTTTTTTTTTTTAAATAAATATATATATATATATATAATGAATTTTTTCAAAAAAAAAAATTCATAAAATAGGTTTTTGAGCCAATATAGCCATTAAGGCACTATTTGGGTTAGCCAAACAGTGCCTTAACGGCTATTTATCAATAGGAATATTTTAAAAAGCAAATTTTTTTTAAAAAAGCACTTCTATCTTTCATTTTTTTTTTTTTTTTTTTTTTTGCCCAAAAAAACCTTTAAGGCACTGTTTGGGTTAGCCAAACAATGCCTTAACGGCTCTTTGGTTCAATTATTTTAAGAAAAAAAAAAAAGAGAGAGACCAAAATCAGCCAAAAAACTGATTTTTTTCCTCTTTTTTTTTTTAGCCAAACATGCCCTACCAAACAGTGTTCGGGCCTAAAACATTGTTTGGGCCAGAATTTTTAAAAAAGAAAAAAGAAAACTGATGCGGGCATGGCGAATCGCCAACCCAATCTTGGTTTCTGGCGACTTGGATCACGAGCCTCTTTATGGGGCCCACTTTTCCTATATAGCATTGGAGCATTGCATCTTCAAAAATTGGGCCACTTTCGCCAAAAAAGCCACTGATGGAGTTGCTCTTATACTTAGGATTGCAACTTGGGCGGTTAACCCAGCCCAACCCCAACCCCAACCCCAACCTAGAAATTTTAAAGTTTGGGTTTAAAATTCACAAACCGGGCTCATGTTTGGGTTGAGTTTTGTCAAAACCCATACGTGTTCAGGTTGGACTCCGGCTTAACCCGAACCCAACCCAAAACCCAAAATAATAATCAAAAATAATAATAAACTTTTTTTTTTCTCCTTTCTCTCTCCTCTCCCTTCTTTCTCTTTCTCTCTCTATTGCCTCACCTCCGCCGCCGCCACTGCCACTCTGTTGTTGCTGCTACTGCTGCCGTCACCGTCGTCCCTCTACCTTTGCCTCTGTTGTTGCCGCCGCCGTCGTCACCTCCAAAAATTAAAACAAAACCCATACATACAAGTTAGCAGTTGCAGAGAGAAAGGGGGGCAAGCTTAAGAGTTGGAGAACAACAGCTGAAGCTTGTGAATGGTGAACCCGAACTGGAACAACGGGCGATGGAGATTGAAAGATATGGGTTTTGATTTTTTGAACAATCTGAAATGATATGCTGATATGGGTTTTGATATAGGTAATAGGTTTTGAACTTTTGATTCTTGCAGACAGATAGATAAACTAAAATATATGGGTTTTGAACTTCTGATTCTTGTAGATTTTGTAGTTTGCAGTTGCAGAAAGAGAGAGTTGAGAAAGAGACCAGAGATGGAGGCGATTGGGGAGGCTGAAATGATTTGCCCTAAAAATATTTTATTTTTTAATAATAATATAATCAAATATAATATATATATATATATATATATATATAAATTTCCAAAAAAAAAATTAAAAAAAAAAAAAAAAAACTCAACCCGTCAACCCGACCTGATCTGCCTAAAAATATTCGGGCTGGGATTTGACCATAATCTATATTGGGTACAATTCAGGCTGGCCCAACCCAACCCGATTTGGGTTGAGGTTGGGTTGGGACTGCCCAACTTGCAGCTCTACTTATACTACGTAACACTTTGTCCCTTTAGTGACGGTCAATGCCAGTCAATAACAATTTTTCATATTGTCAACTATTTTTTAGCATGAAATGTCACATTTGCCCTTACTATAATTACAAAGACATTTTCACCCTTACTTTTGACTTAAAAATTACTCATATACCGTTAAAACAATCACAATTTATTTTTCTGTGTAATTTGTGTACATATTCTCTCTCTAAAACCTATTTACAAGAACGACTCTCTTAGGCGTTGTGGGTAAGTTTGACTGTAAGACGATCATGATGATAAAAACTGATCGATACACTCTTTGAGTTTAGTTTCCCTACCAATCGACCAGGAGGCATATCAAAATATTATTTTGAGTGAATATAGTGTCGCCCTTTAAAAGGTGATTGCCTTTCTCCTCCTTTTCCACTTTTAGCCCTGCAAAATCCTCGTTTTGCCCTTGAACTTCTTGAATTTACATTTTCATGCCATTCTTGCATTTATGATAATTTTTTGGGATATTTGACCTCACGCTGACATCACACATCTGATATGGCATGTTTTATCCTATTGTGAGGGTTGAAAATTCTCTACACAATGGTGCGTTAATTAATTTGCCATTGGGAGTCTAAATTAGGTTAAAGGGGCCCCGGACTGAAAAGTAGCCAATATTATAATGATTTCTAAGGTTTTTGGACCTTCTGAACACAATGGCAAAGTCTGTTTATCCATTTGACTCTTCGTTGGAAAAGTCAAACCTTAAAGTTTAGATTTGGTCAAATATGGGTTTGAACTTGAAGGTAGGCAATATTATAGTGATTTTTAGGGG